TCTCTCTCTCTCTCTCTCTCTCTTTCTCAAACGAGGGAGAGAAAAGCAATGCCTCCGTCTCTTCCACGGTTTACTCGTACAAATCATTCTGTTTCTCCATCTCCGTTTGTTTATCCATAGTCTGGTATGCGTGACTTATTTGTTACCGTTCGATTTGGGAACCGTATATCTCTTGACGTGCGGGCAGCGCAGACGGCTAATCAAATAGTACATCTCCTTCCGACCGATTCGTCCTCGACTCGCGAGAATCCGTTTCACTCTTCTCACGAGAAGACTCACGTTTTAATATTGAGATTATTTGGCATTGTATTGTAAAAATTCGGGACTCGCGCGATTCTCGAAATATTATTTATTAATTGATTGATTAAAATTGGTACTGTGTCGTATATGCAAACGAAGCGACATTTAGAGACAAGAATTAAGGAACATCAACGTAAAATATTGAAGGGCCGGTTAACAATCATTTCGTAATTGCTGACCACCGCCTTTCGAATAGCTGTGAATTTAATTGGTCAAAACCCCTTATATTACATAAAGAGAAACACTTGCGTAAAAGGGAGATAGCGGAATTGTTCTACATAACAAGATTTGACAGTACGCCGAATTTGCAGAGAGAGATACGGAGATTCCGAGTGATATACTATACACATTTAATGGCTCTTCTTTCAATTATGTTGTTTAAAATTTCGTTTAATTTTAGTTTTAAATTCATTGTTACATTGGTCCCCTTTGTGTCAGTGCCTCAGCGTTTGTTTCAACTTTATAACTCAGGCTAGTTGCGTATTTCCTTTCTTCTTCTTTTATCGGTTTCTTTTTACATGTAATCGGTTAAAGTACAAAGTATTGTGTTCTGATTTTATAGCTCTATGTCCTTTTGGTACGTTTATCCTTGAAAATGACCACAATCCAGATGGTCGAAACGTTGGACGTAATCTATTAAATAAATAATTTGTACCATCTACCAGTTAGGTCTAACAATCCTTTCTATTCTTGTTGATTAAAATTTTTCTCTCGCAAAATTTCGCGCATCCGTGATGACGTGTGTCAAGAGACACGTGACGTCGGACGATTCGATGAGGTATACGTTGGTCGGTGTGAAACTGCGGAGGCAACGTGGCACGTTTGGCACGGAAATTGCATCTTGCGGTTGACGCACAATGTTTTGATTGTGTTAACAGTTAATAGTAAACATGTTTGCTCGACTTCCGTTGAAAATCTAAAGCGCACGTGCATCGGAAATATTGATCCTGGATCGCAAACAGACGGCGATGCTTTTTCCACGCGCGGATAAAAGTCGACCGCTCTCGAGTTTTATCGCGAAAATGTCGAAGGGCGCAATTTCAATTTCGAATTCGAACGATAAATCCGATTCCTTCGCTCTCCCTTTGATTCGCCCTTCTTACGATTTAATTTGGAATTTGTCTCACCGCGCAGTTCTCGCCTTCTAAGAGAGCGTCCAAAAATAACAGAGGCAATGAAAAATTTCCAAAACAGTTTGCTTCACAATTTCGAAAGGGGTGTTAAATAGAGATGAAAACATGGATCATATATGTCAAAGTATATTTAGTGCCAAACGTGCCTATGCGATTGTTGCTCCGTGTCTACATTGAAGGTGATCTGTGCACGAAGTAAATAAGACGCAGAATCGGACGCCGCATTTAGCTCGAACCACGAGATGGGAATCTTTAAATATGCAATCATCACGGACCCGATGCAATCGGTCCGGCGTTTACCTCGTCCGTGACACGCGTTTACTCAATTAAATCTTTGTTAGATCTTCTTTTCGAATTAATGATCATAAGGCGACTCCGATTATTTGTTACCGATTTTATAATTTTCACCATGTGTCGGAATTCGAATTGAACCGCGGCGTAAAAATGGCAGGAGAGAATTACTTGCCTTCGCCAATGTTACAGTCATACAATTATAAAATAATGTAATATATAACGTAATATCTTTCTCATATTTAATTTTATTCCAATTATGATACAATATCTATCGGTCCAAGCTTCTAAAGAATGAAATTGTATTAAAGCGTACAATTTCGTACAATAAACGTTGATTCTGCGTTGACAGCTATATATGCAAGATAAATAACTTGATAGCTAGAATTAGAATGAATTGGGTGAATAAATATCGATGGTATCCCACCTACTCACTTTCCAACGACGATGAACGGGGGGGCGTTCAACCCTTCGCGAGACAATCGCAAACTCCGAGTGCCAGGGTAACCCTCCCTCTTTCTCTCGCACCCGGGCAACCCGTTAGCTCTTCCGTATTATCGAGATTCGAGATTCACTTTCGAGAGATATGTCTTTGCGGGGGTCTCACTGTGGAACGAAGTCGCCGCTGCCGTTTGTTTGATCGCACACGTCCAAAACGAATGCTAACTGGTACGAGACTGACCGTTCAGTCGGTCTTTGTACTAACGGAGCAACGAAACAAGACGATGTGTGTACGTGAATGCGTGCATGTGACAGAAAACGAGAGCTAGAGAGAGAGAGAGAGAGCGAGAGAGAATGGGTGGAGGAGGGATGGGATAAAAGGGTGGCAGAGGGAAGAGGTAATCAGAAAACGGGACAAAGAGAGGAGGAATAAGGGGTCCAACGGTGCAGAGGAAGATATGTAGGAATAAATAAAAGGGAGAGCGAAGGATGAAGAGAAGAGACACGACGAACGGCTGGTGCGAATAGAGAGAGAAGGGTAGACGACGGAACGGAGGGGAGTGAAGAGGGCGAGATGGGGAGAGGGAGAATTTGGCATCTGCGTCGAGCAACGCAAATTTCTTCGGCTATTCTTAGCGGGCGAGAGGCGCGATACCGCGTCCTGTCGGACGCGTTTTCCGAACCGCGAAAGTTCCCTCGCGGATCCTCTCTACGCGTGTCCCTGCGCGAAACGTCCGAGCGGAAAACGTTCGCGGCTCGCGAGCTGTCAGAATAATCGGGACTTTTTAACTCGGGCTTTCTTGTCTCCCGTCATTTATACGATCTAAGCCAGACGAGTTGAAGACCGTCACCTTCTGAGACCGGAGGCAATTTTTCGTTAAATTATGACGCTATGCGAATTCTCCGTCGCGAATAAACCTGTAAATATCCAGTCGTAAATAGTGAAGTTCACAATTTATACGAAAATTCTATCACCGCTTATCTCTCCGCTGCGGCCACGTGGCCGACGTTAAGTACTAAAGTATTTTGGGCTTACGTGTCACCGGGCCTATAAAACACTTCTCTAATCTGCTGTAATAAATATTTATATCGCCCGTAAAGTAATGATATTAAAATATGCACGCTCACGCGGCGAGGCGATGAAATTATATATAAATAGAACGCGAAGTTATTTCGCGCAAAATGAATCTATGAATAAGATGCAAAATTATTCCGGGCTAAATTCGGAGGGTTAATCACCGTGAATTCAATGAGAATTCCACGCGCCGAATTTCACGTTGTCCGACGATACGCGTCATTCACTACTGTCGCAGAAAGCACGATTTTAGCCCGGTGATCCCACCGGTTCTTGGTACCAGATGATCGCGTGGTGACCACGAGGACATCGATACGCGGGTGCCACGTGAGATTAGTTCCGGTGCGACAATGCCAGGAAAATAAGCGGCAATTTATGTTGTTTCACAAAGATCGCACTTCTGCGCCCCGCGTTCCAATTCTTATTTATTTAACACGGAGATTTGCACTCGTGTATACATTAGACGTGGCGGTGTCGCGTTTAACGCTGGCAGCTTCAACTTTCCCTCGCACCGCGTTTGCGCAACGTTTGCCTCTTTCCTGGGGAAACGCGCGAAATCGGCTCGCGGCTAAGGGTCGGAAATCCGATTTTGACACCCGAAAATGCAGGTTTCGCGTGTCATTGACCCGGTTCTCGCGGGAAAACGCACGCTTTCACTCGGCCGTCTGGGAAGCTAATTTTACGCCGTCTCGCCGCGAAATTTAGAAAGACACCGCGGATACGACGCAATGACCCACAATCAGAAGATATAGCACGTCCGCAAATAATCATCGACCGGCTGTTTTGTGCGGCCCCGAGGGAAAATGCCCCTTCGTCCTCTCCCTCCTCCGCGCGGGAGACAAAAGGCCGCGAGTACCAAACCGAACGCAGCCGGTATGCGCGGGACGAAAATATTGCACAAGCGACGTCAGGCCGCCGCGTGTCTGCACATTTCCATTATCTTATTTTAACGGGGATTTTTGCGGAAGCATCGCCGATTGCGCACTCGCCGACGTGGCGAGATACACGATATTAGAGCGGCCAAACGCGCTGACACGAATAACAAGTGTCGCGGAAAATAATTACGGCGCGCTCAGGATCACACGTCGCGTACGTGCGTCTCCGCGACTGTCCAAAGAGAAAAGAGACGGTGATAACTGCGGGATTAGAAGGTCGAATCAGTGTTGTTGTCCGTCCGTATTTATTGCGCCTTTAGAGGGATCAAAGTCTCGCCTTGCAGTATTTATATAGCAGCAGGGAGATTATTATCCGAAAATAATGACCCACAAACATATATAGATAAGATTGCGACATAATTATGCAAAATAATAGATAAGGAAGGTTGCGACGAATGCAAGATAAAATTTACTCCTCCATCGTCGCACCCACGTGCGCTCGCACGGGAAAAAGAAGGGAGCAAAGGAGGCCGCGAGAGATTCGCCGCGGTATCAATGCTGAGTCAGCCCGCGCAATTTCCTTGTTTACGAAAGGATGTTTATGGACAGTCGTGGGAGGAAAGAAGGGAAGCCTTGTTCGGCGGAAAGTGGATCATGTGCGGGACGCCGCGTGAACTGTTTGTCTTTATTATTAGCGCGATCGGATGGAATTATAGCAGGAGAGATCCGCTCGCCTGCTTTTCACCCCGAGAAACGCACGCCTTTTCGGCCAACGAACCCGGGGCGAGTTTAAAAAATCCACTTCTGCTTCAGCTTTAGTCTGATATTACATTTGTCGTACGGGCAAATTTTTCAAGCGAGATCGGCTGCCAGAATAGAAAAGTCCTCGAGTCTCTAGAAATTATCTATTCTGCAGCCAATTGTCGCACGACAGATGTAACAGCTCCCTTAGGCTGGCATTACATTTCTCGTATAACAAATGTAATACCAGGTTGCCTATCGTGGAAATGTTCGGAATTGTTCAATTATCTCCTAGATCTATTGTGTTTTCTAGGGGAAACGGCATTCATTTCGAACATTTCCACATGATAAGTATCCTGCCTTGGGCTAATATTAAATTTGTACGACAAATTTTTCAAGCGTGTCGATTGACTGCAGAATAGAAAAGTTCTTGAGTCTCTAGAAGTTATCTATTCTGCCGCCAATTCACACGCTTGAAAATTTGTCGTACGACAAATGTAGGCTGGCATTACATTTGTCGTATAATAATTGATTCCGATTGGAATTGTTCAATAATTGCTTAGACTTCTATTGTGTTTTCTAGGCTAGGAGAAACGGAATTCATTCCGAATATTTCCACACACAGAGAGAGAAAGGTTTCTTTGGATCTAGTATTCCTATTTATTTGGTTGAAATTTGTTTCATTAAGACAATATATGCTTATACGAAACATTATATGTTTTGAATAAAAATTTTGTTGTTTTATTCAAACAACCTGTATTATTTGATAGAAAAAACACTATTATTTGAAGTAATATCTTTCAATGAAATAATTATATTATTTGGCCAGGCGCTTATAAAGTTTGGTGCTGCCACTGGATGGCCGCCGAACTCGTAAGTAAAATCGCGGCAGCTATGATATACAGGGTGAGTCTTTCCATATCCGACAAAATTTTTGAGAAGGTAGAACGGATCGAGATGAACGGAAAAGTCCTGTACCATTTTGCAATTTTCGTAATAGTTAACGATTAATTAATTATTAAAAATCGTTGTCTTAGGCCGGCCTACCGCCCAATTCGAGCGCGTGGCAAGATGTGACCGCCTGGCGATCGATAATGCTATGCGCACATCTCGCCACGCGCTCGAATTGGGCGATAGGCCGGCCTAAGACAACGATTTTTAACAATTAATTACTTGTTAACTATTACGAAAATTGCAAAATGGTACAGGACTTTTCCATTCATCTCGATCCGTTCTACCTTCTCAAAAATTTTGTCGGATATGGAAAGACTCACCCTGTATAAGCGACCGCATCAGCAGATGCAGTTTAATCGTTTAATGGTCTATTTTTTATTATGGCTGAACATAGTGTACTAATTCAGTGTTTATCTTTCTTCTTTTAATGAAGGGAAAATTCTACTGTAGAGGGAGAAAGATGTATGCATATACATTTCTTTCACATATTTTCTATCAAACGATAATGTTGTTTGAATGAAACAATAATATCGTTTAGATTAAAGAGAATATTCCTTTCGTTTCAAACAAATATTTTATTTCTGACAAAGATATATATTATTTCAAATTCAAACAATCGTTTGTACTTGTTAATTCAAACATTAATTTGTTTCGACCATTTCAAATATCAAATTTGTTTAGATACAACAAAATTTATTAAATCCAAAGAAATCGTTTTCTCTGTGCATGATAGGAACCCTGCCTTAGGCTAATATTACATGTGTCGTGGGACAAATTTTTCAAGCGTGTTGACTGGCTGCAGGATAGAAAATTTCTAGATACTCGAGAACCTTTTTATTCTGCAGTTATTCGACAAACTTAAAAGTTTCGTCGTACGACAAACGTAATATCGTCAGCCTTAGAGATTCCGCAGAGTCAGCTCGCACGCGACGAGCGTGCCGCGGTTTAAGATGCTCAAATAAAAATGATAAAAATGAATTTAAATTTATAGAAAAAAAATATATATATTAAAATATAACATATATAATAAAAAATATAATATATATATATATACAATATACATATATGTTAAAAATGATAAGAATTCTATAAAAATAAGTGCAAATAATTCTATACATATTTACGAAGAATTTTGACGAATACTGAAATGACTTGTTTACGTAGTTATCAAGAATATATATATATATATATATATATACAGGGTGCTACGCAAGACTTTGACTTCCGGTCATGGGAAGGTAGAGGGGACTAAGACAAACAGAAAAGTATTGTACTATTTTGCGCTTGGACGAATAGTTATCGAGATACGAAATTTTAAAAATCGTATACTATATGTATATATTCTTGATAACTACGTAGACAAGTCATTTCCGTATTCGTCAAAATACATATATATATATATATATATATATCGTGTCGTGTAATATCGCAAATATCGTATTCTCATTTTTAACATGCTTTCGAGAATTAAATTACAGATATCGTAATACTTTTGCTATGTTGGCCATATACAATAGTATAACTTTAATAATTAATTATTCGACAACCATGCAGACAATCGTCTTGAACTTTCGCATGGAGGACAGATTCCCATAGACGAATGTTTTCTATAAATTGGAATTCATTTTTATCATTTTTATTTCAGCAACCACCCTCCTTAACATAATCAGGATTTCATTTATACTTTGCCTGATATAAATTCTGAATTCTGCATTATCAGAGTTCACGTTGAGCGTTGCACAGTCGCGGCAATCCGAGAGGAGAAACAACCGACGAATCAGTAAATAAAAGCAAAGTAACGCGAGAGACTAATCGTATTATATATTGCGGCTGTATATTATCTATTATACGTACAAAAATATCGTTATATAATTAAAAATCACCTTATCTCAGCCTTACTTTCACCGCGACGGGAGATTGTGGAACACGCTTTCTCGCAGTCCGACTCTTACCCGGTCGCTTTTAATTCCGCTTGAACTCTCGGACCTTTTTACGCCGTTCTAAATTCCTAGCTAGACTTGATGAGCGTCAATCGAGGGGGACGGCAGATGGTGCATCTCAGCGGTAAGGGAGAGCAGTCGGGCCGTTTCCTAAGGCGAAGGGGTTCATCGGTTTGGCCGCCCTTTCGCTTCTACGTTCATCGATAAATCCGGTAGTCTTTGCCCCTGCGGAGTCACGGAGGCTGCGGCTAAACCGTTTCGCTATATGCAGAGTGGGGACCATCGTGGAGATATGGGACATCAGTTTTACCCGTTTAATTCGCGCGACGAGACGCCGGCGCGAACGCTTTTCCGCGGCTCGGGCTGCTGTGCCATTGTCATCATCGTCGTGTTTTTGTTTAATAGCGTTTCCATAAAAATAGTATAATCGTGAATCAAATGTTTAATAGCGTTTCCATAGAAACAGTATAATCAATGCAAACATGTTAGAGTATCGTAGATTCTATTTCTTGGTAGATATGCCACGGTTGAATCTTCATGCTGCAATTGATGGCCTCGTATCTTGAAGTGCCTTCATGCCAGACAGTGAAGTGCGCATCACCTGGTGTACTTGTGTTTTTCGTGAGTCTATCGTGGTCCACGCGTTCTTGACTCTTCACCTTCCTGGATGGACGTCGTAACGTACACGCGACCTCCTGCCGGATGGAAGAACGCTCTTCGGTCTCTTACCCAGACGTAATTGTATACGTACGTTTCCTCAAACGAATATAATTGTATTCCGCAACGAATCGCTCGTACATATCTCGGTTCACTTCGAAGAAAGAGAGAGAAAGAGAGAGAGAGAGAGGAAAAGAGAAGGGCCGAAATATACCGTTTACCCTACGTGCTCGTGCTGCAAACATGTAGCAGCTGGTGGCACATTGGCGATGAGAAATTGATTTTGCACAGGCACGGTGATACAGCCTACCTCGATAGCCTACCTCGATTTCATGGATATTTCTGTGTCAAGTGCCAGATGCTGCGCATAATGTCGAGACACTGAAGCGGGGTGATTGAACTCGGTAAATAGAAAGATAATCCGCATCTGTGACGTTGCGTCTGTAATTGGGATTTGCGAAAAGATCATTGACTATTAATATAAAAAGTTTAATTTTTTTCCCCGAGCAAACGATTTAATCGTTCTTTAATAAAAGAACTGTATTTCATGTAGTTACAATGCCGTGTAAAAAGATACTCGCATTGACATTTGACACGAGCATTGTTAATTAAGTTAATTGGGGATGCGACGCCGCATCAGAAACGTTGAATTGATAACTGCGTCGGAAAAGCAATTTTTATTAGTAATAATTTCTTATTAACAACCGTGGCGAAGCGTTGCCATAAAGAAATCGTGCATAATGTTATAAAATAAATGCACGATTAATGTACCTTTTATTTTCAGAACAAATTTTTATCTTTAATGTGAATTTTTATTTTTTTTCCTCGCTACTTATATTCACGCTGCGCTTTTCGAAAACGGATTACTGTGGATTCATTCAACTAAGCACAAGGCTCGTCTGTCTTCGTTATCGAGATTAAGAAAAGGTTCAAAAGATTGGAGGAACAACGGTTCAGACATCTGCGCGTTTTGATCTCAAACGAGAAATTTCATCCATCTCATTTTATACCACCTCGTGCAAGATTCTAGGCAGAGAGAGAGAGAGAGAGAGAGAGAGAGAGAAGCACGGCGAGATTCACACTATTGTTTCTGTTTCAGATCGGCGGATCACCATGCTTACCTTCCAACTTACTCACGCGATCGTCCTCCTGGCCGCGATCTTTCTGTAAGCATTGAAAACGGCGATAATGAAATATAAATAAATAATGAATGTAAGATCTTACGTCACACATATGGCAATTAAACGTGATTACGATCGTGTTCCAGGATTGACAAGTGTCGCGCTCATCCCGCGATCGCACAACGGCACGAGGCAAGACCATTGTGTGTGGGCTGCGGCGACAAGTGTGACCAATGCGAGTTTGGTTTCACAACGTCAACCCTCTGTGGTATCACGGAATGCCGAAAAGTGAGTAGGAATGCCGATAAGCGATTAGCAATAAGTCGTCCCGCTGCGAAAGATTGTATAACCCTTACGGAAAAATCACTCAAGTTTTGAATGTTAACACTCGATTGTCTGAATTTACTTTCAAATTTAGGTTTACGCCCAAATTTGAGAGTAAATTCGGACAATCGAGTGTTAACACTGAAAATTTGAATGTTTTTCCGTAAGGGAACACTTCATCGTACCGTCCTGAAATTAAAGATTTACTATAAAGTTGAATGAAATTGCGATTTCATTCTTTATTCAAAGCTTCGTATTCGAAGTCTTGGCTATTAGTCATTAGTGTTACAGTTATTTTATTTACCACATTATTTATTCTACCGAAAATTGCACGAGTGCTTTCGCGATCTTATCGATGCCGATTTGCCGCAGGGCCCCGGGCACATTTGCGGTGGGCCGAGCGAGTCCTGGGGCGTTTGCGGCGACGGACTGATCTGCAGTTGCAACCGCTGCACCGGCTGCAGCGTGGACAACCTCACGTGCTTCGCGAATACCTGCCTGCCCCATCAGAGCCTGGAGACGCGGAGCTATCTCGATATCTTCGACAGCCCCTTCCCCATCGACAGAATCGCCAAGTAAAAACGGAAACCCCAACCCGACCCCCGGATGGACGAAAAGGACGACGGATGGATGAGACGACGAATGTGAGAGGAGCGAATGTGTGAAACGGGAAGAAGAGAGAAACGCGGATATATATTAGCGATTTTTCCGAATTATTTATTGCATTTCACGATGTAATTTCATTAGGTATCCACAATTGTGATAGATAACTTGTCGGAGCCCGTGTCTCTATCATCCCCCCCCTTCTTTCCCCCGTTCCCACGAGACGACGGTGCCCCTGTCCGTGTATAATGGCATTTCTGTGATTTTTTAATTGCTACGTTATCCCGTCTTTGTACACGCACGCCTCAATGAGGAACGCGCGCCCCTGTGTCCGCGCGCGTTTAGCGAGCGTGCGTCGCCGGCTGGATTGATCTCGCGAGATGTTCGATGAATCATCGTGCATGGTTCTTGGCTGTGAATCGCGCCTCTCGCGGTGTAGCGAAGGGCGATCGACGGGGTCCTCCGATGTGCTTCCCACGCGGGAAGCACCGAAGAGCCGGGTCTCTACCGAGAGTCGAAAAGTCGCGGTGCAAAACCGGATGGCCGAGAGTGACGAAGATGCAAAAGCCCTCTCCTCCTCCCCAACCCCGTGAAACAGTCGATATGACTTTCGACATTCCAATTTGACATTTCGAGTACATATATATATATATATATATATATATATATATATATATATATATATATATATTCTCGAAAACTACATCGACACTTTGCTTATTGTAATATTTATTTCCAATGTCGCTTGGTCATTAAAGAGTGTCGCAGGGAGAGTGAGATCTCCTTGTGACGACAGATCTCCCGATAAAGCGCGCTTAGATCAATATTATCAGTCATGTCAACACGTTGCCTCTCGCTAACTGACCGTAATATTTGTTAATAAACACGAAAAGTAGCTAATACAGTTGACTTCTTTCATCGGCACTTCTCTCGCGGCGATTAGCGAGCGTCGTAAGGACAGCGAGTACTTTACGTATGCTCTCGGTATTCCTGCGGAGACCGGACGTTAATGTTTTAGCGAATGCCGCCCTATGTAACGGACAACAGAATAAAATTGGTTGCATTCATGTGCGCGTCATTGACGTACCTTCCCCCATCCCGGATTAATTTGTTTATCCGCGGATTTAAACGGGACCAGCCTGTTCACACGCAACGAAACGAGACTGTTTCTTTGCAACAAATGAAACGAAATGATTTGTTGATGCCGACAATAAATGGCTTAGGTTTACAAGTAAAAGTGTTCTTGATTAATTGATTGATTGATTGAAGTAAAAGTGTTCTTCCGTATCTTCTAGATTCGATATCTTCTCTTCCTTTGTTTTAAATATGCTTTTTGATATTTATTAGCATCTGTGAAAAGAATCTTTTTAAAGGAAAATTTAATTGAATTCATGTCGAATTGCAAGCATGTCACCGATTGTATTAATTAAAATTAAAATTAAAATCTTTAGAGCATCTCTTGAACATATTGAAGGCATGCCTGTATCTTTCCTGTAATCAAGTGCTGCCATCCGGAAATACCGGTAAAAACTGTTTTACTCGTTGGATAACGCGTCAGAATTACACACGCATGCATACAGTAAATCTTACTTGCGAGCAGTTGAAAAATGACACACAAATGTGCACTGAATAATAAGAAATATTGTTACATTACATCGTGCAACAATTACATCATTGTAATTAAAGGCGGCCTAATTGGAATTCATTTTGATACCGACAATAAGTATGTTTCTTATTATTGTGTACATTTAAATACCACTATTAAAAATCATTGTTATGAAGATTAAAAATTTATTATTCACAAAACGACAGAAAGTATATATTATATGTACATCTTTTATACGCTAATCATTATACAAGTATCGTTTATCAACAGAATTGCACGGATGTGAAATTGCGATACAGAAGTATCTTTGACATTAATTTGTGGTAATCAAATTTATAACCAACGCATTAATTAATATGTATATTAATTACATAAAAAATGATATGAAATAACAAGAGAGTATATCAAGATATATATATATATATAATTATCTAACTATAAACTTTTTGTATATATTAACCGTTTTTCTTTTGGCCACAGCGTCTCATTGCTTCTTTCTTGGGCATCATTTATTGCCGTCGTAGTCGTACAAAAGCCATCGTGGAAAGAATCGAAATAAGAAAGTGAAAACAATGACAAATATTGTCGTAAAATAACAGCGTTCCTCTAATTATCATCGATTAATTCCTGTGATGGCTTCCGACGAAATTAACAAAGTTACAGTCAAAAGTTACACGGAGTGTCCCAAAAAGCGTATACGTGTCGAACATCGCGAAACAATATAATTAACTTAAAATCGTAATCGTCGTTTCCTCGTCCTCTGATCCAATAGCCGCAGGTTTCCGTCCGAGTCACAAGGGAATCCGCAAAATGCTGAAAAACAAACGGCACACATGAGAAGAAACGTACGGAGAAGGTCGAGAGACGTGCCAACGAATTCGTTACTAAGAAGACTTTAAGGGTCAAGGGCTTCGGGGCGCGAGCTGGACGTTATATTTAAACCGCGTATAAGCAACGAGATGTGTCGCCGACACATGTTGCAGCTGTTTACATTTTCCTTCTGCAGTTAATGAGTGCAGATTAATATTAGCACGCAATCGTCGCGATCACTGCGAGCTACGTTACGTTTCGAAGCTGGAGCTTCTGGAAAGCAACGCTCTTATATTTCATGAAAAATTGCCGTACACGTAACTTCAGAATAAAAGAAGTTATTGGATAATGCCCATTAAAGCACGCGAGTTTTCCGCGACTATTTCGAGGCACGCAGAAGCAAGATTGAGCTACACCTTTAAATCAAGTGGGGATAAAAAATTTTTTCTGCCCGTTTTGCCGAGGAAATTTTCGTGAGTTTGGAAAAAAAAAGATTAAAGTTTTCATTTTATTCTATTCTTATACAATACACGTCCACGTGTATACGTGGACTGAGTATATATATTATGTAATATATCTGTCTTCGAGCACTATGTGCGTCTCTTAAGTGAGTTAAAATTAAACATTCTTGTAAAAATTTGTTAGTACACGTCTAAAAATAATTAATTTCGCAATACTCATACGATAGCATTATGTAAGTTAGAGAAGATTACATTTCTCACATCTTCCAGATTCGCAAAGAAAATTGCGTAGCCAAGTTATGTTAGAGCGCAAAACAGATTGGGAATGTAGATCGAAGTAATTATCACATCTTCCACACTCAGGCCCGGTACAAACGGACACATCAGCGAGAGCTTTTGATTTACGTCAGCGCAATCACGAGACATAAACGGAGGAGAACCTCTTGCGCACGTCAACGTCCCACGTCGCCTCTCACGCCAGGAGGGTACGCTGCCGGTAGGAACGGCCTACTGGCCGTTCTGCTTGAGCAATTTCCGCGTCCTGAAGCCACGGAAGCCGGCCTGGATCCTCGTCGCCGCGGCCTGAACGGCCTGCTGCCTCTTCCGCACCAGGAAGCCGCGAATGCCCGCCTGGATCTTGGTCGCCGACTTCTCCTCGAGCGCCTCCCGAGTGTTCTGTCTCTTGAGTAAATGCTCCTTCGACTTCGTATGCTCCAGCTGCTGGTCCTGCTGATTCTGCGGCTGCTGTTGCTGACGACGGCGCTGCGTGGATTCCTTCAGCTGCTTGCGCACACGGTACCCGCGGAAATTGGCCTGGATCTTGGTCGCCGCCGTGTTGGCCTTCATCGCGTCGGCGTCCTCCTTCGGGGTCTGCGACATGAACGGAATTCTGAGCCGGTCACGCGAGGCTCCGTGTCTCGGTTGTTAAAGTCCGGCCGACCCGAGTCCTCCAAGCTGCTTCGCGAAGGCCGGCTCCGCAGAAATTCGACGTTCTCTCAAATTGTTTACAAAGATCGTTTCCGGAGAGGTTCGCGCACCCTCGGCTTATTTACAAAGATCGATCCCAAGTGCGAAAACAATTTCAAGTTGTTCTTGATTATTTGCAAAATACGTTCCCGCGAGAACTTATTCGAGAGTACCCCTGGTAATTGATCGGAATCGTATTCCGAAGCGGAAAACTGAATAAAGAGAGATGAAGATTCCGAAAGATTTATTTCAAGGCGGAAGCGAGGTGATCTCGTGGGCGGGATAATCCCTCGATTATTTGCGATCTCGCCAGCAGAAATGGGAGCGACAACCACCTCAGGACACCTTCGATCATCTATAAATATCAGTACCAGAGAGAGAGAGAGATCCTCTTCGGGAAAACCACGATCCTCCCGATTATTTCGGGATCGCCTTAGAAGAGATCGCGGGTGCCGATCGCGATCGGACGATCCGCGGAGCGAATCGCAAAAGTATGCTGTAACTATGAAAACGGACACCGATGGATTTTCGATCTACGACGATCTACGAGTATCGATCCGAGGGAGGAGCAAATCGATCTTTCCGATTCCCTGGGGAGCGGGAAATCTTGTCTCACAAGCGGGACACGAAGACGGCGAAGGATCGCTCCTCGATCGCGGAACACTTTTCTCGCTCACTTCCGATCGCCACGATCTCCTTATCGCGCGTCCTCCTGGCCAGAAGCGGAATGGGAAACTGACGCGCGACGGATGCGCGACAAAGAGGCGCGCGTTGGCTCGGCGAGCGCGGTTTATCCGCCTCGGACGAAGGATAGATCTATCACGCATGCGTTCTGCGATGATAACCCGCGCGCGAGAGAGGCCCGTTCGGTTCTCCGAACCGTCGATCGCCTTCACGTCTTATTTCACGGATCCGAGGATGGTTAATTTCGTACAAAGTTGGCAGAGAGCGAGTGCCGATCGTCCGATAGCCGCGGGACGGCCTTCGCGTGCTTTTAAGTAAAGCTAAAAACGCGAGAAGGAATGCAGTCGGAGAGCAATTCGAACCGCCACTGAACCGTGCGTCACAAGTGGAATATTTTTACCTTCGGTTTTCACTTTAAATAGGCATTTACTCCGCTTTGAAAAATTCTACCTCATTTGTATGCATTATTATTTTATTGTCAGCGTGTACATTACACTTTGACTTTTACACGGTGAAATGAAAAACGCGGGAGTTTTTGAAAGTGCGTTAAAATTTCACGCGTCAACGGTACCTCGGACGCCTCTTCTCTCTTAAGGCGCTTCACTTTACTTTTGTTTTCACTTTACTTTCGTTTCCCCCCGCGATGCATTGCTCGCGCTCATTGAGAAATATAATGCAGGCGATTTAATTCAGGGAACTCGATATAACACACTTGTTTGAGCACCGTTCGGGCATTTATTCTTCCACTTGCGGCTTGATTGATCGCGTCGTGTCAGGGGGAGAGCGTATTGGGGAGCTCGCAAAGTGTCCGTAATACATCGCTCGGGACAGCATTAATTTCGGTCTCGTGAGTGCGGCCGACATGCGCGTCACAGTAAATTCGTCGTCCTGAGGCCAATATACGCTGATTGATGATTGATGCTCGCGCGAGAGCGCGGCCGACGAAAGTCCGCGAGCGCGCGCGCGCACGCGCGTGCGGCCGAGGAACATTCCAATTTGTTTGCGCGTCCGCCGTTTGATCCCGGGCGCGTATTCGCGCATAACTCTTCGCCGATGCTCATCGTCACGAAAATATACTCGCCCGAACGATACGCGTCGTCCAATCGGCCGGCTCGGACATCGATAACGATCCCGCTCGTAGATATCGCGCGCGTAATTACCCAGCGACGCGCTCCGTCGTTCGCGCGTTCCCCATCGCGTATCCCGCGTTCTACGAAATGTTTTCGTAAATGGTAATTATTGCTGCTCGTTAGATTAGATTGAATTAGATCGTGACGTCGATTTCGCGGATTAAAATTGCACGGTGACGCTCGCCAAGTTTACAGACGCGTTACTTATTGTTACGCGGGATATCGAATGTCGCGTCGGTCGATTTCGAAGCTGCGCATTTTTTTTCAAAAATATTAAAAAGACCCGTTCACGTCACTCGCTGTAATATTAATAGCCAGGTGGGACGTTTGCATATTCCAATGTAATGCAGACATTAAAGTGACACAAACGCACGCTATTAATAAATTGGAGGCGCTCGCCGAAAGTCAGATTTCGTCATTTTCGATTTTCATTAAGGATGCTCGCGTTTGCGACGCTCGGAGGAATTTTCTATTCTAAAATACAATACGTACGTGGGACCTCGGATATGAACAGGAAAAACAGAGCTATGCATGATCCAGATATCTTCTCGTCAATTTTCTCGGAATGAAGCTATCTATCCGCACCGCCCGCGGCTGACTCGCGCTCGCTGACTTCGCTTACCTCTTCGAGATTATCAGGTGGGTGTGCGTTTGCGTGTGTGTGCGAGACAAAGTTGCAGCAACGACTATCGGCGAGCGTGATTGATTCCGGACACACGAAGATCACCACGAGGGACCGAGAGGAAGAAATCGAAGCGGTTGCCGCGACAGGTCGTGACGATGCCTGCGCGCGAGTCGCTGCGAGTGGCGGCAACGTCGACGACGACGACGGCGTCGTCGTCGCGACGCCCGGTGACGTCACCGCGACGTCGTACTCTTACCTTGGATCCCCGCTCACTGGACGGTCGCGACGACCACGATACTGATCGCCATCCGTTTCTCTCTCTCTCTCTCTCCCTCTTTCTCTCTCTCTCTCTCTCTCTCTCTCTAGATCGCGGCAGGCACTAAAAATATGTACCAAGGTCCGTATCCGAGCCGCTTGCATTCCGCGTGAGCCAAATGCAAAACATTGTCGGTCCGATTCAGCTTTCCGATCGTTACGGACGCAATTAGCGACCGACTACGCTCGAGGTGTACGAAACTTCACCGCGACGAGATCTCTCTGCGCCTGCACCTTCCTCGCGATGCTCCCGGAGTCAGGACTGGACGGCAAGATACGAAATGCGAAGAAATACATAGTACGACCGATTATTTTCATCTCAATTCGAGAAACTTTGCGGCCGCGGTTAATTCGCAGGCCGCAACGCCGCGTGCAGCGGAGACGAGTGTCTTATCACCGAGAATATGCTTAATTCGCAGTATACAATAGATATAGCGCCGGGAACGTCTTATCGCCGAGAGTATGTTTAATTCGCAGTACTACTTGCGGCTATATTTATACTGTAGCTAATTGATTTCAATGCTTTTGCGATAAATGTCCTGAAATAAAAGCGAATGGATCACGAGTTATCTTATATATGCAATTTATTTGCCGTTTTCTGCATATACAAAGATATATCTTCAAGCGCCATGTCAAAAGCGGGGAGAAACCGGTCCTCGTGTCGCGTAAAAAAAAGAAACTGCGGAAACTCGCGTTGCACTTCCGTCGATGGAAATTAATAACTAAACTCTACGCGTGTCACTTCTCTCCGTGTACACTAATACTATTCCTGAGAGATACCCTTCTCGTGCCGCCTGTCTGTCTCTAAACGAGTTAAAAATCAGGCACTCCAGATCCTACAAGAATACAAAACGCAAGTGCCTCTTGTAAAAATATCCTAGTGTGCAATGAGATTATAGCGATCATTGTCTCGCGCGTAAACGACGATCCTAATCGGAGGAACCAATTGATCGAACAATACAAATTGTAACTCCTGGCCCTGTTTCGCATCAGCCCACGCGTTTCTACGATTACGAATATGATTCACGTCTTATCGTCCTTCTCTTCTTCCACGTGTTCGCGATTGTCGCGAGGTGTCTCGTTAGATCTCTCATTCGCATCCTCGCTACGCAAATCGCTCTCGTCGATGCCCTCAGAGTCGCGATTGGATTCTTGTCCCTCAGCTCCTTGTTTCCGGTCTCCCGTCGCACTCGCGGTCCTCGGTGACATCCCTAAATCATTCTTCGCGTCCTCGGGGGTACATTCCTCGGATGGCATCGAGCTATTTGTATCCAGCGAGGTCTTCGGCGCGGTCGATGGTTTCGTTGACTCCGATGGGGCGAGCTCGTCTAAGCTGGTTACCTCCTCGATCACGACACCCTGAGAAACGCCCGGAAGGGCCAAGGGCTCCCTGAGGCTCCCTTCGCCAGAAGTTGTCGAGGGATGAGCGTCGTCGGGGTTCTTCGTACTCTTCATCGTATTGTCCAGAGTCAAGGAGTTCATGTTGGAGCCCAAATCCTCGACGCTGGTTATAAATTTCAAGTATTGATTCTCGTCGTCTCTCGGATAGCCCAGCATCAGAATGTCCACGGCCGGCTCCATGGGCGTCGCTCCTCCAGTACTTGTATTAAAATCGGAAGGGGGATTTTGGCCGACCGAGAAGTGGCAATTACGGGACGCGCCCGTCAGCAAGTGCATCATGATCGGAAAGGTGGGATCAACGAAGGCGTTGCCTTTGTGGAAACTCGTCCCGTGTTTGCTGTCGCGACTGTGAGCAGTGGCGAAAGATGTTTACACAAGCATGACTTGTAATAATATTTGAGGCGTAATAGATCTTTCTTCGTTTCTCCTACGGAATTATTACTTACACGGGATCACTCTTGTCGGCGTTAGATTTGGTGATGTCAGGTGGATCAGCTTCACTTGTATCGATCTCTTCATCCAACGAATCGTTCGAGGTGACTGAGCTGGGCTTATTATTCGCCAAATCGAAAGGAAGCGACGGCACAGAATCGTGAAACTCGCCGGTATGTTGAAGCCGACCTGACGCGAAGGCGTTCTCCAACGAGAGTGTCGTATTCCGTAAAGCTTCCTCTCGCCGAAGACGTCTGGCTTCTCGCAGACTCAAAGTATCCTGCGGTACCGCTAGACGATCGCTCTAAAAATTAACAATCAAAGTTCGTCTTTAGAAAAGCTCTAAAAATTAACAATCAAAGTTTGTCATTAGAAAAGCGAAAGTATTAACCAATTAAGCCAGATAGTCCATCTTTCCTTTTATAAGGGCATTATTATTGCAAAGACATTATCAATTTTTTTTTCAACCATATGCGGTTTTGCTTGCATTTGTCTACAAGAACGAAAAATTCTCAAAATCAAATATCTTCTTCTGTTTTTAAAAGATTTCGAGCATGTCCATTAATCAGTCATTTAATCACTGTCAAAGAAAAACACTTGCTATTTTATAGAAGAATAATAAATGATTGATTAAAATCAGAAGGGGAGTTTTGGCTGACTGTAAGCGTAAATAAATTTATTTTGAGATGTAAAATTTTGAAGGAGATGTAACAAAAACAACGTTCGTAAGACCGTGGACGTCAATTCTGATTTAAGAAACAATTATTTTAAGGGACGAAAACTCGAGTCTATCTGCCAAGCCGATTACTGCCAAACCGCCTGTTGCAATCACGAAAACGCTGACATTTAGCAGTGACCCGCCGCTTCCTCTTTTACGTAACAAACTTCCGACGGGCGTGGCGTGCGAAATATTGCGTCCAGCTGTTCAGCTCGGCAAAACAGAGGGAAACCGATGGACTCAATTCCAAGATCAGTTTCAACACATTGAATAGCCATGTGCAAACTGATCGTTTTTCGTTTAGAATGCGATTAAGACATTTAATAAGAGATTGTGTACCATTAGATTCAATATTTCGCACAATTTTTATGTTATCTTCTATATAGCATATATTAATTTTTATGTTATCTTCTATATAGCTAGAGCATATTTATTATTTTTTTAAGATATTATGAATTAACATTATTTAAAGATAATATATCAATCATTATTTTATTTAATAATCTGATTTATTAAAATTGACCAAGATTATTATAATAATTGTACTTACCGTAACTATCTTCTGCGCTGATGGAACGTTCGAAACAAATTCGGATTTCAAGTTTCTTCGTACACGTCGACGCGTTAAAAATCCTCGGATACCTTCAAAAAATTATCTTCGTTACTTATGAATTAAATTACGTCACGAGTCTCTCGAACTAATATTGCTCTACTTTCTAATCTCAACGAAATTAAAGATACTGCGATGTCATTTATATCCGCGAACTTGACTGAACTTTCTTGTGTGTCTTCTCCTTTTTTGTCTTATTTAAGTGTAGTAAAAGATAAGAAAGTCGACGGAGATTTATCTACGCTGCTAATAATGAAAGACTCGACGTAATTTTATCAAAGCGCTGCGGTTTACTCACAAGCTTGAATTTTTACAACTGCAGAGTGAAAATCGTCTTTCTCCCGAATAAGCGATTCGTTCGCGATGATTTCTGGCGCATCAGCAACAATCTTCATCTTCTCGTCCAAACTCGTGTTAGATTCGGATGCTTCGATTACCGTTTCCACGGTCGACGATTTAGTTTCCGTGATCCAATGTCCGAAACGAGAACGATCTTCCGTCGATTGCTCAGATATTGCGCTTGTAATTGGCCCGTGAACACTCTCTACCCTTCCTGAAAGATCTTCAGTTTTCTCGTCCTTCTCACTTTCTGCATCTTTTCCTGCCCGATCGTCAGTGGATTCATTGCTCGTACTTGGTTTAGTCTCTTCGTGCTCGTTATCGTATTTTATCGACTCGGTCATCGAGTCTTTCCTGGATTCTGTTATTTCCAGAGGCACTGCTGTCACATCTACGATTTTCTCCATCACCTTTACACTTTCTTCATCACTTTTACCTTGACTTTTTAATTCCTCTTGCACCTCTTCTTGAACGTTCAATCTTTCTTGCTTACATTCCTCGTGTGTTTCTGATTTTTCTTGCTTGCATTCCTCGTGTGCTTCTAATTTTTCTTGTTCGCGTTTTTTCTGACCTTGCAATTCTTCTTCATCTGCTTGCAGCTTTTTATTTGGTTCTTCAATTTTGCTATCGTTGCTTTGGCTCTCGGGAACTTTTTCAACATTGGCTTGTTTTAATTCAAGTGTTTCCTGAATGTTGGTATGATCTGCATTACTAATATCAGATGTACTTTGAACTGCAATTTTTTCGTCAACCGTCTCGAGTTTGTTATTTCCTTCCAATAATTCCTGTTCAAATTGTGCTAAAGGTGCAACTTGCAAATTTTCTACATGTGCTTTCTGTGCCACTTCCAAATTAATTTCTCCAGCTTCTTTATTTATTATCGCACTTTTTTTATCTTTATTATCTTGGTTGACCACGTTACTCGATAATTCACTCGTCGCTTCAATCTTTATTACATCATCTATTTTATCTAAAGAATCCCTCGTTTCTTGTTCAACTGACATCGAATGCACAGATGACAACATCTGATTAGATTTATCGTCCAAATCTAAATTGCTCTTCTCAGATTCTCCGCTATCTTTTTTCGAATCTATTTTTTCGGCTCGAACTTGCATATCTTTATCCAGCAGATCTATCAATTCTCTCGCGATTTCTTCCTCGCTCCCTAATTCCTCAGTCTCCCTGTCCTCCTGCAAAAGCGGACCGATTTGTACAGCGTCTTCCGATAAAGTCTTCAAACCAGTGTTCTCCTGAGACTTCGCTTCACCTTTCAAGTTGATTTCCGTAGTCAACGGATCTTGCCCCAACAATTCGTACTCCTCGTGTTCCGCGCGATACAATTGATCGGCCTCCGGAACCTCCGATTGCAAACCTTTCTCTGTCAACTCTTCAGCGGCAATTTCTTCTTCGCGCTCGGCCAAGGTCGGCCGATTCGCCAGCCTCTCATCCGAAGTCAACGGCTCAACCAAGGACGTTGTGGCATCGCTCTCCCTAGGACTGCCGTTGTCCTCCTTCTCTGTCCCGTTTGCCGTCATCTTAAAAGACGACACCGTATTATCCTGGAGCGAGTCCAGATTTAGTTCTGGTACCGTCGGTCCGCCCGGGCTCGCACTCTCGATCGATCGGTTGCTCGCAGTACTCTCCTTCACGTCGCTCGACGTGGTCGTGTGGGTACCCGGCGTACTTCCGCTCTCTTCCGACGAATTCTCCGGCGCGCTTATGAATTCTACCGTGACGTTTGCTCTTCCTTCGTTTGCCAAACCAGTATCAATCATTGCATCCTTAGTATCAGGCAAGGGTTCGTACTCGAGAACGCCAGAAGAAGAAATTTTCTCAGCTTCCTTGAATCCAGTTGTCCTTACATCAGTCTCTTCAATTTCCTCGTGCTCCACGATATCTTCCAGCGTGGCCTTCTTCATTTCGTCCTCGTTTACCGTCTCTTCATCACTTTTCTTCTCTTGATGACTCCCTATCTCTTTTCGTTCGCCATCTTCTTTCTCTTCCTCTTCTTCACCCTCTTCCTTAATCCTGTCCAAGTCTTGATGGACGATCGTTATGTCCTGGTCTGAGTTCATCCCTTTCACGCCACGCATAAAATCGGTATCGACGGGTAGAACGGCGGCATCCGGTCGGATGTATTCTCCGAAAATCTCCATACCGTACCCATGTTGATGCTTTTCCTGTTTTTCGTCTTTGGAAATCTCTTTAACCAGATCGAACCGTGCAAGTGACTCCTCTTTTCGATTCGCTGATCTCAGCTGGTAATCCTCCAGGATAACGGGAGAAGAACACGGCCTGTCCGGGAAGATCACGGTTGTCACGGAATCGGGAATCTCGCAGGGAGAACCTTCGCTGAGGACGTAAGAGTACGGGACCTCCAAAGAGAGAGGCGTTATCGCTGGTAATTTGTCGCTCTCGCGTTTCTTCCGCGCTTTCGTTTTATCGCTCTTATTCGGAAGATTCGACATCGAGCATTCGCTTTCGACCACCGTATTTCCGGAAGTTGTACCCTTGGAAACTCCATTCGCCGCATTTTTAGCTTCCTTTTTCGATGTCGTCGTGTTATCGCCATCTGTTTCAACTACTTGCGTAATCTGAGAATCTTTGATGTGTAATTTTGGATTTATAGATTGCACATTCTCAACATAAACCTTGACTGCTAATTCTTCTATGCCATTTGCTAATTTTTCGTTCGTCGATTTTTCAGTTTTATCCAACGATCTTTCATCTAGCGCTTTTGTTGTACTTTCTGTAGCTTCTGTGACTACTTCCGTTTGATCGGTCGCCTTTTCTACTCCATTCTTCGACACTTTTGCTTCATCCTTTAATTTCTCTGCTTCATTTTCGGTCGTCGATATTTTAATTCCATTCGCTGATGTTTCTATTTTATTTCTTGAATCTCCTGTTTCACTAATCGATCCCTTTATTTTACTCTCTGTTTTTTCTACTTTATTTATTAATCTTTCTCCTGTATTTAAGTCTTCCATTTTATTTGATATTTCTGTTACATCTTTTATCTCTTCTACATCATCTGTCGACGTTCTTTTTCCGTCGTCGTTGTTCTGTTTCTTTTCTTCGTTGTCTTTATTTATCGGTGTTTTTCCCGCCTCTGTCGACTTTCGTATCTTACTCACAGCCTCTTCCGCCTCATTAGCCGGCTCTCCTGCTTCATTTATCTTCCTGTTAGTCACCAACTTTTCCGCTTGGCTCGTCATTTCGCCAATGTCACACGTCGCGACCTGTTGGCAAGCCAACGCTTTCTCAATACTTCGTTCCGCCATCTCGATCTCGATCAATTTATCCTTCAACCTATCGAACGTGTTCTCTCGTGCAGAATTCGTATTATCATCTTGAAGTTTGACTTTGTCTCCAGCATCAGGTTCTACCGGATCTGGCCTTAGTGGTACGTTCGCCACTTCCGATGTAACGTTTAAACTACCCCTGAATACTTCCTCCGATCTTTTCCCTTCTTCCAATTCCTCCAATTCCTCAAACTCTTCAAGACTTCCGCGTTTCTCATCGAGCTTCGCTAGTGCATCTTCCGGGAAAATCCCGTCCATATCTCTCATACGTTTTCCTTCATCGATAAACCTTATATCCGATGTTAGATCCTGGTCATTGCCAGGTTCCTGCTTCGCATCTACGATAGCATTTTCGTTCTCAGGAAGAACCGCTATGTCTTCCATATCGCTCGTAATGTCGTGCATCGTCGAGGCCTCCTCCGCGTCCTTTGAGATGTCCTGCTCCTGTTTCCTGGCGGAATGGTTGCCATTGCTGGACGCCGTCGGCAGGATCGGCAGAGACAGCTCGTCCTTCTTCTTCGTCGATTTGGGAGCGTCCGGTGAAATAGGCGGCAGCGTCAGACTGTCCGTACCGTTTTTGGTAGCGCTCCTGGAATTCTTGGAGGATGGTGGTCTCACGATCGGCAGGGAAACACCGTTCACGTGATCAGAAATCTCCGATTCCGACGGGTCGCTTCCAGCGGACAGCTCGCTCCTGCGAGCACCTCCCAACTCGGACGTCGATTTCGAGATACCTTCCAGGATACTCTGCGTGGCAGTCAATCTCGCTTCCAAGGTGTCACGCGTCGCGCCGGATTCGTGCTCCAATTGATTACTGCACTTCGAGTTGTCGTCGACCTGATCGACGACCCCGAAGTCGCCACTCTCGCGCCTCCGCGACCTTTTGCCCGATCCCGCGCTGCGCCTCCTCAATTTCTTCTCCTCTCTCTCCGCGTTCAGAGTCGTTTCATCCCTCCCGGAAGAACCTCCGGTCTCCTCTTTCCTCACGATATCGGCTTTCTGCTCCAGCCCGTCACCACTCTTTCCTCCTCCGCTTTCTTCTTCATCTCGACTGTCATGTCTCTTTTCTTCTCGAACGTGCCGATGAAACGACTCCCTGTTCCAGTTGAGGTCGACCGACCTCGAACGCTTTCCCCGCGGTTGTCCGATCTCCTCCAGCTTCTCCTTGATGATCGGCGCCGCACGATCGATCACCTCCTGCACCTGCTCCACGTACGTGGGTGATCGTAGAACCTCCAGACTCGCGGTGCTCGCGAATTTGCGCAACACATACGCCCTGATGCGATCCATGCTAAGTGCTCTCGACGATACTTTCCTCTCGGAGGAATGTTCGGAGAGTCGTGCCTCCAATCTTCTTTCCTTGCTCCCGGTCCGAGCCATCGTTTCGCGGCTCGCACCGTCATTTTTAACGGTCGATCTCGTATGTCTGATAAGTATAAAAGAACATGTAGACAGATCCTTTTATTTACCCCTGGGAAAATTTACTTTAAATACAATTAAAGTTTTTAAAAGTGACCTTACAAATCTAAGAGTTTATTTAAGAAATTTTAGAGTAATTTTGGACACTTAAAGTAATTTTTAGATAGCCAAGCCTGTCAAAGTTCCCGCTAAAGGGCCGCGCGGCATAGCACTTTCAATATTGCAGTAATATTTCCGATATATTTTATTGTAATATTACGTTGGAAATGTAATATTACGTGCTATTTGGGTAAAATTTGCTAAACTGTTTATCAAAATTATAATATTAAATCTCAGTGAGAAATGATTCGTGGACCGATGTCGAAGCGACGTCGAGTCGATGTCAATTTGACGGCGTCGATGTCGATTCAACATCGATCGACGAGTCATTTCTCGCTGGGATAATGAAAACAGGGATATATTGCACATATTATGTATATAGTATGCAGCGAGATAAATTATTATACCCGTTTTCAAGTCCCGTCTTGTTCCCGACTTCTCGTTCCGTCTCGGTCTCGGACTCTGTCTCAATTCGGCGCACCTTCTTCAACGGTCTCCGTGCGGAGGTTCTACTCGTGCTCGTCGTTGTAACACGCTCGACCTCCTCTCCAGCATCTTTGTCCTTCCTGGCCACCCTCGTTTTAGATCGCCTGTCGCCCCGAATCCCTCTCTCCACGCTATCTGTCGCCTTCAATTTCTCGCCACTCAGCTTGTTCCTTCGAAGTTCCTGCTTGATATCCTTGGTCTGGATGTGCTTGCCGGGGCCGTGAAGAGCGGTCATTTGCGAGATGATTCTCGTCGCGCGAGCGTCTGACGTGGTCTCGTTGTCCCTCGATTTCTTCGAGGTTTTCTTCGTAGTCGCGGGACTTCTCGAGCGTGTCTGCTTCGACGCTTTTCGATTTTCTCTATCGGTGGAGACGTCCTCCTGACTCTCCTCCGCGTCAGCGGACACCTGTTCACGCTTCTCGAAGATCTCGATCTCCCTCTCCAAGGACCAACCGCCGTTCGAAGGTTTCCCGACATTTCGAGTCTCCTTGGTAGGCCACAGGTTGAAATCGCGACTGAATTCATGATTGAACGCGCGATCGCTGTACTCCTCGGTGTGGTACTCCTCCCGCAGCTTCAGCAGCTTCTCGAAGTGGCGGGCCGCGAAGACGTATATGTCCTCGGGACGATGACGCAGGACCTCCCTCGTGAGACTTTCGACCACGGTCGCGAGACCGTGGGGCACCCGTGGCGCGATGAGGTATCCTGTGCCAGGACGCAGGCTGGGACGATCGATCGGCGGGGTCGGGCTTAGCATCGTGCCACTTTACTATACCTCATAATGCTTCCAATTATTCTTTATCTATATTACACGTCGAGTTTCGCTATCGACATCATCACTTTCATTGCGACGTATCACGTCGACGCATCGCGGAGTGCGGCTTCTTCTTTTTCAAGGAGCTCCTCCAGAACAATTCTTGCATTCTAGATATTTAAAATCGGACAATTAGGATTACTCTGGAGCGTGACTTCAAGAAAACGCGAAGATCTCTTAATCTTGTAACAGTGGAAAAGAGTATTTCGAGGTGCCTCGGGAGATTTTGCCAGATAGCACAGAGAATCCGAAAAGAATTCCCGAATCGAATTCTCGAATTGTGAATTCCTTTCCCGTCCCGTTTCTGTTCTAAAAATATTCGTAAAAGTTCAAAAAGAATTCGCCTCCGTGTCACCAATTCTGAGCTCTTTTCCAGATAGAAAATGAATTCTTTTTATGTTCTATAAGAATTCGCACCGGAAGGGAATTTTTTGGGGAGCTCATTTTACACATGTTACAGTAATTTCTACAGAATTTTAAAGAGTGAATACCTTTTTGCGTTTATATTATATATCATGTTATCTGGGTTGTTTTTCTTTCCTAAGAGATCTTAATTTTTTCTAGAATACTCTATGCGGTAAGACTTAAGAAGTTATTAACTGTATGTTTCTGAATGTGTGAAACAATAACTATGTAGTGCATTTTTGTGTTGCAACCATTAAGTTCAAACCACTACTCTCTCTCTTCAAGAGATAACTAGCTTCGACAGTTTACTGGCTAGTAGCTTTATAACAGAACATCCCCGAATATGTGTTTTTCTCTTTACTCGGAATTGGATTCTCCTATTTCATCCCGCTCCGAGGCTCTACGATTTGGAGCTACGCTCCGTATGGCAGAACGTACTTATTTGCTCTCGCGTGCTGAAAATGTATTCCGCATGTTCTTCAAGCTAACTAGCTGGGTGCAGGGATTATAATAATCGCAAGGGAAATATTACAATCAATTGTAACGTATATTTCGTTTCGCAGAAACGATTACAGTGAGTCACAATTTATACGTGTACGTGTGCGCTATCGAGGTGCAGCGGTTCATCACGCGGGTCAACGGTGCTCGTTTCAATTCCGTATACCTGCCAAGGTGCGAGAGCACAAATCGGAGCGATATCGTAAGCGGATGTACCGCCGTCTCTCGCACGTCCCAGAGACCGGATTGTACCTGGCGCAGGTGAGAACGAAACGGGAGGGTTGCCACCACCGAGCGAGTGCATCTCCGTGGCACAACTGAATCACCAGCCTCGTCGGCGCGGTGGTCGATGCTTGTCCATTGATTAGTTTGCCCTGACGCACGGCCACGTGACTCCGCCGCAGAAATTATATACGCCGCTTAGAACGTGGAACCGGGCCAAAGCGAATGGAATAATAATGCGGCTCCCGTAAACACGGTGCGCGCGGTCGCCAATCTCTCTTTCTGCCTTCCCGTAACGGTCCTACGAAGCGACACGGTTCGGTTGCAATCGGCCACCCGTTACGCGGCCGGAAATATCGAACATTTAATAATGCACCACCGCGACAGTGCTCATGCAAGTTTTACATATGCAGCGGCCGGGGACGAAAACTATCGTGGATTTCAGGAGTATAAAATCTGCAAACGACGTAGCCGAAAACTGCATTAAAAACATATACAAATTCAGAACCGATGATTGCAGCTGAGAAAGACATGTCTAAATTTGATTTCTTCAGAAAAACGAGAAGAATCAGCGTGTTTCCTTTAAAAATCGATAGTACCAAAAAATCCAAGTTCCTATCGTATCGAATTACATCGATACATTTTCCCATTTCAGAATAAGTGCATCGCGAGTAGAAGAATCAGTGTTTTTCGGTTAAAAGTCAATAATAAAAAAAAACAAGTTTCTATCTATCGTATCGAATTATACCGATACGATTTTCCTATTTTAGAATAAATGCATCGCAATTGCAGCGTAACAGTTTCGCACAATCAATGTATTTCGTCGCTGTACAAAAAGACGAGAGTCCACTCTATTCTTCATGAGATAAAAAAGGTCATTGCGTCATTTCTTTGAATTGAGCCTCGTCGAGAGCATACTGCGTTAGAAATTCCAACTCGAGGGGATGAAGTTTTTCCGCCGGTATGACGAGGCAGTGTAGCGGCGGTCCCAAGTCCACGCGCGTCATATCCTGCAGGGGACAAGCGACAATGTGCTGGTCCTCGCAGCCCACCCGCGCCAGGCCCACCGCCAAGCTACGTTGCGTGAACGCTGGTGAAACGTAAAAATCCCAAAATAACATAGCTATATTATCATTTGCAACAATTGTTGCTCGTGCGATCGTTGTATTTGTCAATATTTATCTCATCATCTCTCAGATCATTGCACTTATCTATTTATTAACAATAATCGCACTCGCTATCATTCAAATAGAGTCACTTGTTATCACCGACCTAAATCTTTCTGACCATCCTGAATCTTGTTGTCGAGTATAGCCATCAGTTGACCGGCAGCCTCGTTAACGTTCATGAATCTCGGAGGCATGTACTCCTTCTTTCTCCTCGTGATACTTTCCAGGGTAGGCTCCTTAACTTTGATGTCCAAGAGACAGAGTGTGTGCAGCCCTCTTTGCCTGTTGGACGCGATCTTCTCGTAAAAGCTGTCGGGCCGCCAAGTGTCGGTCCAGTACGGAATTGAAACGATTTCCCCGTACGAGTACAGTTGTAAGCCGCAGCAACCGACCGCAGTCAGTATCGATGCATTGTGTACGACTCTCACCTGATCAGAAACAGCACGCTCAGATAATCTTCGCCGCACGCATTATGACAACATAAAACAGCCCTGATATTTCTGAGAAAAAACACTTCTAGCAAACCTCTCTGTACTATCCACCTGTATATTTCTCTCCTTCGCGCGCAGAACCAGATCCGTGTGCGTGGTAGCCCCGAAGGGGTCCCCCACGACCAGAAAAGCAACATCCTCGTCCTTTCTCTTGGGCAGTATCTCGTCTGCATTACTCTCCACTAGCTCCCGGTCGGCTACGATCAGAGAACGTCCGTAGAATTCTTCCTAATGCAAGATACATTATACATAGATTGCATCTGATGTATTTCGAATCTAAGCTGAATGTATTTAATGTACGTCTAAACTCTGCAAGTTAAATGCGTCGTTGAACGCGAGTGAAGTTGTATGTCAACCTTGACGTTTGGATGATTACGAACCAAGGCTTCCTGCTGCACTGTTAAGACCGAGGTATAAGATTCCAGGTACACGCGATCACACTTCCTGATGATGTCGAGCCCTTTAACGGTGACGTCCTTCGTGTCGCCTAGACCTAATCCTATCACGTAGAACATGGTGCCCACGCGTTTATTGTCATCCGCTGCCCTGCAAAACATACATCTCTCAGGTGGTTCTGCACACGTTACGGTACAAGGTGTTTCCGTTTCTTTTTAATCTTTAGAAAGGGAAAGCTACTTTCGTGGCTCTCAACAAATCTCCGAATTCTGCGCGACGCGTGTGTTATTTAAATACACAAATTTTGGGGGAAGAGTAGAATACCAGTTTGACGAAAAAACGCCGACAGAATAAAGCGTCGTCTACAATAGGTGGAGTAAGCTTGGCGTAAGAAGTAAGAGTAGGCGTAAGAGAACTACTTCTGGTTTAAGAGAGCTGGAGTAAGGGCATAAGCGAAATGAATTATTTTTATTTCTTACGCTTACTCTTAAGCGTCTACATTGGAAGTAAGCAGTAAGAAAGTAAGAAAACCTAACCTTTCCCTTTCAGTGTAAAAGCTAAAGTACAGACATAATTTTTTACAATATTTGTAGCACTGGTCGAGCTACGCTCTAATTCGCCGAGAGTAAGCGTCAGAGCTGAAGTAGGAGTAGGAAATGGAAGAAATGAACCATTTCTTTACTCCTACTCTTACTTCTTACGCCAGGCTTACTTCATCTATTGTAGACGATCCTTTAAGGTGCATTTTCACGTGTCGCTCGAAACGGCCGGTTCGAGCGACACGTGAAAATGTACCTTTACTCTTACGCTTACGCTCGACCAATCAGAACGCAGGAGGAAAACTCAGGTACGCCAAAAACATTACTCCTACTCTACTTCTTACTCCACGCTTACGCCGGTTATTGTAGACGACGCTTAAAGGTTAACTGATCTGGCTATATACCAACTCCGAGCTTGTTATCTTCCTTCCTGTTGGAGCACAGTATAAGAATTAAGAGCAGGTAAGATCACTCTGTGAGAAATGGCACGGATGGTCGTCGTTCGCGCACTTAGAACATATATGATATGGAAGGGAAATACCTATTGTTTTCAAGAGAAAAATATGTCCGGAGGAAGCGAGAAAGAAAATCGTAGTGCCTCTCTCTTGTGAGCAACTGCTCGAAAGTGCGCATGCGCGCCATTTGCTGTCACACAAGCATCGGTGTGTGCTTAGAACATATATGATATGGAAGGGGAATGCCTATTGTTTTCGAGAGAAAAATATGTCCGGAGGGAGCGAGAAAGAAAATCGTAGTGCCTCTCTCTTGTGAGTAACTACTCGAAAGTACGCATGCGCGCAATTACGTTTGTTTGGCCGATTTGAAGTTCCGCTTGGAACATTGAGTGAATATATTCACTATAGTCTTCTAACCTAGAAGAGAAATTTTTTTGATCCTCGGGGTTGCATCAAAAATTGTCTAAAATTAAAGCAAAATGGGTTTATATTGTATTTTATGTGTTAAAAAGGATAAATTAGTTTCCTATATATTATTTACGGTGAGTAAAAATGTATTTAATTTATTGTCAGTTTGTGTGATGTGAGTAATCTCAGCAATAAATTTAATTATTAAACTATTTAAAAGGAGAGAGTGCCTATTGTTTTCGAGAGAAAAATATGTCCGGAGGAAGCGAGAAAGAAAATCGTAGTGCCTCTCTCTTGTGAACAACTACTCACATTGGCACTCTCTCCTTTTAAATAGTTTAATAATTAAATTTATTGCTGAGATTACTCACATCACGCAAACTGACAATAAATTAAATACATTTTTACTCACCGTAAATAGGAAACTGATTTATCCTTTTTAACACATAAAATACAATATAAACCCATTTTGCTTTAATTTTAGACAATTTTTGATGCAACCCCGAGGATCAAAAAAATTTCTCTTCTAGGTTAGAAGACTATTCACTCAATGTTCCAAACGTAATTGCGCGCATGCGTACTTTCGAGTAGTTACTCACAAGAGAGAGGCACTACGATTTTCTTCTCGCTTCCTCCGGACATATTCTTCTCTCGAAAACAATATATAGGTATTTCCCTTCCATATCATATTCCACGTTTCTCGTCCTAATTAGTGCTGGATGCAATTCTGACTAATAGTTATTTCTGTTTCTTTTTCGTTTCTCGTCCTAATTAGTGTTGGATGCAATTCCGACTAATAGGATAGATCCAAAGGACATTTAAGAAGCTAACCTTCCTCCCCTCATTCGTTTTGTTCTTAGTTTTATATAGTTTGTCTATTTCATAGTTATTTCTCTATTCTTTATATCCTTTTTATTTGTTTTTCATATTAAGGTGTCGAGAAACCTTCTTTGTATTATTTAACTTGTTAAATAAAGCTCACATTTCAAACAGGGTCATATCACATTTGTTTTAGGTATCATGGAATAAACGCGTTGTGTTTTGATTTTAGTCTGCGTCAAAGTCTTCATTTTGTCTACACAGTGATTCTGCAATTTCTGAATTGTAAGTCAATTTCTTAAATAATTCTTGTCCTAAAATGATAGTTCTACAATCCTTACAGTTTAAAATGACACCAAACAATAAGAAGGTGAAGAGAAAACGCGTGCAGTTAAGTGTGGTGCAGAAATTAGAGCTAGTCGAGAAGTTGGAACAAGGCATCTCAGCGAAGGATATTTGTAACATGTATGGCATTCACCGAGGGACTCTCTCGAGAATCAAGAAATCAAAGCCCAAATTACAAAAGTTTGCTTTAACACACAATACTAATACCTCTAAATTACATGCTTCTACAATAGGGAATAAAACGCGCATGAAATTTGGGCCAAATAAAAATTTAGATAATGCTCTGTATAAGTGGTATAATCAACAGAGATCCAGTGGTATTACTGTTCGAAGTCCACAGTTGAGATCGGAGTTTAATGCTCTTGTAACACGTATGAGACTCAGTATCAAGAGTACTTCTGTATGGCTGGTGAATTTTAAAAAGAGACATGACATTATGGATTCTTTGCGCGAGGCACCCTGTAGTGAACCTTCAGAGTCAGAAAAGAAGAACAGTACCGAAAACAAAGTTATTCCAGAAGAACTTATAAAAGTTGAGAATTTGCCTTCTTCGTCATCTTCGCCTCCAACCTCTTCACCTCCAACTACTTCTACTCGTCACAACATTTCTAAACTAAATGCTTCAACAATAAGGAATAAAAATTGCTTGAAACATTGGACAAACGCAAATTTAGATAAAGCTCTGTATAAGTGGTATAATCAACAAAGATCCAGTGGTATTAATGTACAACAGCTCCAGTTGAGATCGGAGTTTAATGCTCTTGTAACACGTATGAGGCTCATTATCAAGAATACTTCTCATTGGCTGAAGAATTTTAAAACGAGACATGGCATTATGGATTCTTTGCGCGAGGCACCCTGTAGTGAACCTTCAGAGTCAGAAAAGAAAGATAGTACCGAAGACAAAGTTATTCCAGAAGAACGTATAAAAGTTGAGAATTTGCTTTCTTCGTCATCTTCACCTCAAACTACCCCTACACCTACCAAAAATTTCGGAGAATCTGTAAAAGTTGAGAATTTCTCTTCGGAATCATGTTCGTCTCCGACTGATGTTTATCAGAATTACGTCTGGTCAGAATATGATATTAAATCTGAAGGTTCCCTTTCACCTTGAGATGATAAATCCTCAGATGACAAATAATGACTCGCTATCACTATAGTTACAGCAAACTGTCTCTCTTCGACTACTTTGTTAATGAACAAAGAATATTTATAATGGTATAATATAACAATTTTATAATGTATAGTCCTGTGTATCATATTAAAGCAATTTTATATTAAACGCATTAAGAAAAGATAAAAGTGGCATTTTATAACATTATATGTATACAAGAAATACATGAAGATGTGTTATCAGTTTCTCACCGTTAACTCGTATGTTATTTCATTACTTTGGATTGGATTATTTGAAATAGGAAAATATAATATTACATTCACATTGTTTAAATTCGCAAACTGAGATATAAATATCTATGTATGTATATACTATGCATACATATTGAAGGTTGCGTTTAATCAGCATTTATTGTCATTCAAATGGTAGCCCGCGCACAACCAGCAACATGGCGGCCGGGTAGCAGCGAGATCAAAGCCTTTGGCTACGTTCGACAGAAAAAGCTGCTTTGCAACTGTTGTAAAATTCATGAATCTGATTGGCGTATGCTCTTAAATTCACACAAGATTGCGAGAACACACCAATCAGATTCACGAATTTTACGACAGTTGCAAAGCAGCTTTTCCTGCC